ACAAGTTTTGGAGCAATTTTCGGAGCAGAAAAATCTGGATTGTGGAGCAGCTTAGGAGCACAGAATTCTAGTTTTGGAGCAGCAGTTTACGCCTCTTGGAGCAACTTCGGAGCAGAAAAGTATACAGTTTGGACCAGATTGGGAGCAGAAAATGTTAGAGCAGCTTATCAGCAACTGAAATCATAAAAAATCAGATTTAAATCAAATAAATCTTATTTTTCTTTTTTAATCATTAATTTTTTTCTCCCTGGTTCCAATAAGTCATCAGCGCCGATACGCACCTAGATAAAAAATAAAAGAACACAGAAACGGAAAAGGCAAACCAGAGTCCAATGCGTATAGATGAGGACAAGAAACACAGGCTTGTTGCAAAGTTAGGTGGGCACCAGGTACCTCAAGCTTATACGAACTAGAGCCACTGTATGAGTTCCCAGAGTAACGCATCTGCGTTACTCTGGGAACAACATACTCAGTCTAGCCGATCATGTTTTGGTTTGGTGAGCATCATTGGACGGTAGCGATCACGTGAAACAAGCACCGCTAGACTCACCTCCAGCAGCGCTTCAAGCGGCTCTAATCGCCACCATCTTGGGGCCAGCAAGCAACTGCTCATCGAACGTGCGCTTACGCGCCGTCTTTTCCATGCGGTTACCGACGGCAAAAACAAGGAGGTTATGTAGTTAGTGGCACAATGCCTGCTTGTTGCGCTTTTGGGTGCAGCAGCAGGCTGGAGGATGGAAAGCGACTCTTCCGGATCCCGTTTGGAAAGAACGCAACTGCAAGACGCAGGAAGAAAGCTTGGCTGGCCATAGCAAAACGGAAATATTTCGAGCCCACTTCAAGAAGCAAACTTTGTGAGGTGAGTGCTGATTACAGCTGGTTCATTACGCGTATCGCGGAATGAACCAGGGGCTCCTTGAACACTCTCTAATGCATGTCACTATTGCCTTCATACCCCCGTCGACGCGTGGACCCAAGATGGCGGCGACATGGTTTCGGTTTCAGCGCCGCGCCGCGGTTCTAGAACGAACCTTCAGATTTTTGTTACTCTGGGAACCCATACACTGACTCTAATACGAACTGGTGCCAAAGTGCAGCTGTAGTGCAAAACGTTTTAAAGCGATGATTCGAGAGCAGAAAGGGAAGCACGATTTGCTAAAACCAGACGTCGATCGGACGCTCGTAGAAAGCACGTGCAGATTGAAAAAAACTTGCCACAAAAGTGAGTCCCAAGGTAAATAGTGAATTGGTAGAAAACCTATGAGCAGTACATGCACGCTAAATACGGGTGCGTCACCGATACTTTCGATTGTTCACGCACTGGAAGCACGTGTGGGACAACCGAAAGTACTCACGGCGACGGCGCCGTCCATTTTGACGAGAAGATTACAGGCACGAATGAATGATTACACAATGAAGGCGCTCAGTAGCACTTTTAAGAAAAGGTTTAGTCTCAAAACGAAAGAAATACTTGCTCATCTTGATAGTCTGTGCATCGTACCTCCCGCGGCCAGACAGCGAGACCGCCTGACAGCATACCGTTAGCATCCAGTCAAAAATGACAGCGGAAAGTAGTATAGGAAAATCGTGAAAAGACCACGTATCATAGGTATAGAAGGATACCACAGCTGAAATCTTTGAATCCGGCAGTTGTTCGCGCCACCCTGTACCCGTGCCGTGTACTTTACTATGATGAGACTGAATGTTGCCAACCAAACTCTCGTTTCCCGCTAAATCTAGCGTCGCCGCAAACATTTTTTTTTTTTTTTTTGTGACTTTGGCGCAGTGTGGCGCAATTTCGACCACAACTAGGTGCAGAAATTTGGGTTTGTATCAAAATGGCACAATTGGCGCAGATGTCACACCCCTGCATGGTTTCTGGTCCCGAGAACGTCATTTGTGGTCTCTGAACTAACTTAAATGGCCAGACCTCGAAGCTTTAGCACAAGCCCGAGACGTATAGCTTGTCTTAACACATGCTTGTTGTATTTTTGTACGTGAGCCTTTCTGTTAGCGTTTCGAGGTATGTGGACGAGCCAGTCCTGGGAATCTCGATGCTGCGAAGCTCGGGGATCTTGCTTGTGTACGAATCAACAAGCTGTAGCAACCAATACGTATGCATACATCGAGCTCGCGCCTTTACATTAGTGTTGTTGATCAGGAAGTTTGTTTGTTTCGTGCGTCCATAGACGAAATAGACAAAATATTACTTTTTGCAATTACTGTTTTTCTTAATTCGCATCAGCGCAAGAGGTAAAACTCGGAGGCGCCATTGAAAAGCTCCATTTGAACAGACTTCTCATCTCTTATCTGTACTGCCCCGCAGCACTGCACGAAGTGAAGTTTCCACCCGCTTGGCATTCCACTAATATTCAACATTGCGCATGAGCATAAAGTTATCCTGCAATCATATAGGCACATTTGCACAACAAAACCGTTCGAGCACTTGTGTGAAGAATGTCGCACCGTTCCCCGGGAGTGCGCCGGACGGGCATGAACCGCTATGCGGTGCGCCAAACGAACAAAATTATTCAAAGCGCATTTGACGGTTGCTAATGGCCATAATATTTGTTATGTGTTTGCTTTCTTCCTGACTGAGTATGCCAAGATAATTTCAGACACACCAGTCAGGCACAGATATTGGGCGCCAGTAAAAGCTCGTTCAAAAAGGCTTAGCGAGGAGTAGGGGACGCTTGTTAGAGTCTCCGTCGTAGCTAGCCGATCTCAGCGTTTGCGAAAACTTAATCTTCTATAAGCATAAAATTTGAGTGAGAGATATCTGTTGACACTAGGAAGACATCATAGTAACTTTTGTGCAGTACTTAGGTCGAATTTATTGCGTTTCCTTAAAAGTTCATGCGCCAACGCTGGGCTCAACTTTGATACTCCTGTGAGGATGCGTCTTGCTTTTAGACCAATGAAGTAACAAAAAGCGGACGTCTGGCAAACAAAATACGTGTAAGGCTCAAGGTGACCACATTTCAGTTGTAGTTCACATGTACTAGAGGGAAATATTGACATTGAGCTCAAAGATGCACTCGTGGGGTGAGGTGACTAAGCCATGTCTTACTACGTTTGCATACGCACGCACAATATCCGGTGTTTCGGTAACCATTGTAAATGCCCTGGTCTTCGTTTTGTATTGCTCGAGAATGAGTGTATTGTACATTCATAAAAAGTCAGATAATCGAAAACACAAGCAGCGCGTTCGGTTGCAGCTTGATAGCATGAGATGAAGCTGCTCAGTCGAAACCGAAACTGAGTGGCCAACTAGTTACCAGAGTGCACTGCAAGGTATTTCGCTGCGATGGGGCGCGTCGGTTTTGGAAGAAGTCTCTTATTTTTATTCACTAAATATAAAGATTCAAAAATAATGAAACATCATAAAATCCAAAATCAAATTTTTGTAAAATATTGCCGTTTTTCGATTCGCATCACCCTTTAAAGGGCAAGCATGGTCAATATTTTTTTTTAATTTTGTTATTACGCATGTTCTCAGCTAAAAGAGTGCACCTGAACTACAAGGTATAATTTCTTTTTTCCGATATTGTGTGTAGTTTTATAAATATCATGGCTCAAAGTTTGGTTTCGGGCGTCTACGGCAAAATTGAAACTATCTGCTAGAAGGATGGCAACACTGATCATCAGCCGCACGACCGCGAAGTGACGTCACAAGGGTGCTGCAGTATGCGGTACAACCAACCGCAGCTCCACTTCGACGTGACGTCACAAGGGTGCTGTGCCAGTGTTCCTTGATTGAAAGCTAACCCGCTTGCCGCCCGCTAAAGAGCAGCTGGTCGCATCTTTAAAATTGGCTTTAGTAGAGTAGGCGGCTTCAATTTGACCCAATATTTCGGCTGTGATGATATTTCGTGGCACTAAAGCGATACCAGCAATTTATTTTTAGTTTTGTTTTCGACCGAAGTTGTCCTTTAAAACTCAGATAAATAATGACAATCGTCGAGATCCTTGGCACCCTAATAAATTTAAATTAAAAAAATTACAATAATTTTTTTTATTAATAGCTTTATATCTGTTTTACTGCAAGTGTGAGTGATGCGGAAGATACAAGAGCGAGCATCACGCTTCGACCTTGCCATGCTGTGCATGCTTGCTCAAATCAATGGAAGTATTGCTCAAAGCAACATGGATATGTGCCTATAGCACTTACGGTAAAACGAAGTATAGTCTGAGGAAGTTACAATGAAATAATGAGCCGTAAAGATGCACAGAAGGAGTTGCAGCATGAGTTATACTATGCCAGCAACTCTCAAACCGCGGATCCTTAGGGGTCAGCGGCGACATTCGTGAGGGTTCACATTGATTCAGGTATTGCTCCACTGGGGCAGGTAAGGCACTGAAAACAGTTGAAATCGTTGGACCAAGTATCTTTCCTGCTATAATAGATTTCTCATGAGTCACAGAGTGCTCTAGCTAGTTTCTTTAGTCGGTGACAGGTTAATAGTCCAGGGGAAACTCTTCCCACTTCTTTCCACTTTAGCAGAGCAAATGCAGGAGAGGATCTGACCTCCTCTCCAGCGTTTTCTGTGCTAAAGTGGAACAAGGTGGGAGGAGCTTCCCCTGAATTCTTAACCTGTCACAAACTATAGTTGCAAATTTATTTCTACTACATGCTTTCTTGGAGAAGGCACTCCGATAAATGTTGCCATATACACTTTATACTGTGAGACCACTTTGTCTGGGCTCATCCACAGGAAGTGAAAGACAATAAACGTGATTTATAGTCAGCCAGATTGACGACTTCAACTTTGTCTGATTTATGGAGATGTGAATTTGTCGATGTAGGCAACAGGTTGTTGCCATATAAACATATTCAATGGGGGTATGCAACAACCCCCGAGGTAGTTGGGAGTCTGCAGCGATGCAAAGTTTGAGAAGCACTGTACTAGCTATTGAAGTAATAAGACATGCAGCTCGTTATTGACTAGTACACAAATTAACTAGTAGCCGAAATTATATAAAAATAAAAAAGGACTTACATATACAAGTTGCCTAAAGCTTGTCAGCAAGCCACTGACATCAAGAAGATCCTGTGGAAAAAAAAAAATTACAACAAAAGCAGTCAGGAATTACACCAAAATTATACTTCCAAATCACATAAGTGATTTGCATAAAATCCCAGCTACTCCCCATAAAAAAAAACAAAAAAAAAACTTGGTTTTCAAAAGAAGTATTTAGAGGAGGACCAGCAAAAGAGAACACAGTAACTGAATGGACCCGACCAGTCTCCATCAATCACAACAGTAGCCGTGATCGATTTGGCTTCCTCTCCCTGTGGTTAGGAGAATCCTTGTTCATCACTGGCTCAGCTTGCATTAGTTCTGCGAGAAGGAAAGGATGAATACCACTCCTGAGGGTAACCCTTTCCTCCTCTGCCTTCTGTACTTGGCAAGGGATCTCTGACTGCACTTTAGATATATAGAAGCAGGATGCACATGCAAATAATTTGTAGCTTTCTAAGATTTGTGAAGCATGTGAAAGTCAACAATCTCTTTAGCATAACTCTAAAGGGATACTGCTACAAAATTCTAGCACTTATTTTATTGTCTAAATGTAAACCACATTCTGGCCACACCACGGAGAAACCAATCTTTTGCTCGGAAAGACACCAAAGCAGTATTTAAAAGGAATAAACCGAATGCCGTTATATCACTCTGCATTTAAAAGCAGCGCCGCTCTGCTCAAGTATGGCGGCTAGCTGCGTGCGTACGGAGAGAAGGAAAATCTAACCAGATTTTCCTTCTCTCCCAGCCTATTCAACTGAGCTCATGGGCTGCGTGGAGCGGGGAGGGGCAACTAACGACGCAACTAACGGCAAGTGGTGGAGCCCATAACCACGCCAGCCCCCAAGCAGCTTTGCCCGTACTGGTCCAGCTGACATCATGTCTCCCGGCATGCATCAAGCTCTCGATAGCTGATCTTCGAGCGCTTGCTGGAATCGGTCCTTTGGAACGAAAAATATAGCCATCCGTTCAAAATACAAGCGTTCGATTGCCATTAGCAGATAGAGCTGATCATGTTTGACTTATTTCTGAATATGAGACATATATTGTAAGTTTTGATTCAGTATGCCTTTAATACCACCTTGGAAAATTAAAAAAACAAAACGAAAACTGTCTTTCAAAATTCCCCAAGCTATTGATACTTCCCCAATCCTTGAAAAAAATCCCCAGATACACGGTTTTTTCATTTCCTTGACTGGTAGACATTTTGAATAGTTAAAGAACTAAAACTTGAAGCCTCAGTTAGAAGTACTGTGGATACACATCAGGGGCACAGACTGGCCCACAATAAGGATGCCTCCTTACTGGCCCGGTCCTACCGTAAGACTCCAAATTTGACAGAAGTCCTTTTGCTGTACTATGGTGTTTCAAAATTTAGACTTATATTACACAGCTGAAGGATTAAACAAATAATGCAAGGAGTCAAGGATTAACCAAAGACGGCAAAGGACAATCAAAGACGGACATTAAGCATTTATTTGGGGGTGTCTGCATTAATTTGGTGTGGACCTCGTGGAAGATCATGAAGCAAAAAATCATGCGGAGATGTTCCGCAGTAAACTGAAATTACTTCTCACGGCATGCCATTGAGGAAGACAGTATAAGTGATACTAACATTCACACAACTTCCACTTTTACCATTCCGGTACCTGCAGCCTCATAGTACTTATGTATTCTGTTGTGCCAAGCCAATGACCATGGTAATGAGTGACTTTGGAGAAAACTGACATTTTAAGTCCAAATCTGTATCTCCCTGCCGCTCGTTGTCCGTACATACGCTCCCGTGTCGAACACTGCGACAGAGACTAACAAATTGTGAAAGACGGGTTTTCTGAGGAGCGAAATCCTTGCCCAAAGAAAATGCTATTTATTAACTACAGCTTGCCTAGGTGAAATTGTATACCTACATATACAGACCTTTTCTACACAGGTTCTGGCACCTTGAATCAAAGAACTTCCGCTATGCAGGAAAACATAGTTTTGCTCTCGCCACACCACTGGGAGACAGTGTTGCAGAATGAGCACCCCCATTCTATTACAATTCTATTCCAGGAAATTATTGTTTCCGATAAATCCCTTCCTTCTTTCTACTCCTGCAATCAAGACACTGGGCCCATTCCCACTCCTGGAATGGCAGAACCGTTCCCTTCCATTCCTTCAATTCCTACACATGAAAAATGCCTCTTGACAGCTACATTGTGCTGCCGCCAAAAGCAGCATAAAACTGACATTATCACAAGCATTGACAACCGCAAAAAAAAATGAAAGATGTTTACAAATCTCTGTAATGCGAAATTAGAATGCAGCTCTTGAGGACGAGAAGGGGAGGGTATGGAGGGAATGGTATGCCCCCCTCCCCTCCCCTCCTCCTCTTCCATCCCCTCCTCCTCCAATTCAGTTTCCCCGCTAAATTTAGCAGGCAAAAATGACGTCACATGACTTGGTGTCACGTCACCTATGGACAAATACAGTTTCTCCACTTGATTTAGCGGGAAAATTGACCCCGCGTGACCTCAACACCAACTCAATTCCCCGCTATATTTAGCGGGAAATTGAATTGGTGTTGAGGTCACGTGACATTAATTTCCCCGCTAAATTTAGCGCAGTTACGCTGACGCGCCCTACCCGGAAACGCGTGCCTAAGAGCTGCACTCTAATATGCAAAATGCGTCCCTAAAGCACTAATTCTACCAAGCCGAGCAGTGGTCACACAAAGCACTTGGTGGCACTCCGGGGCACTGCAGACATCGATGCATGTCACAGAAAAATGAGCCAGTCATGGCACTTCTGACTCCGCATGCGCCTCTAGAGTGAGAAGGCCTACATCTGAGAAAGGCATGCAGCATGGTTTTGTCCCTGCCTGGTGGCCTTTGACCAGCAGTGTAATCACGTGTGGTAACACCAAATGCTTTGCCACATCTCGCGGCGCCAGGAATGACATCTTGTCCGTCTGCAACTAATGTGCACCTTTGCACCAGCAGTCCTGCTCCCTCGTGGCCGACATGCAATGCACGTCTGACACGCTCCCCTGCATCCTATGAGGGATGCGAGGCATAGCTTTGCCCATTGGCCACTGGGGTGGCAGGACCGCAGTCCTAAAGATGCGCTCCGATAGGAAATCGAAACTTAGAAACGTGTACAAATTGAGTGTTTTTTCAGAACGCCCTATAATGCTGCCACTGCCTTGTAACTTTCTAAATAGAGTTGATTTAGTGGTTTTTGATTTTTACTGGGTTTTCGAAATTCTCCTGGCAAGTATTTTTACAATTTTTTCAATTTTATCCCTAACTACGGAACCCTACCCACAGGATGTTTTTCCTAAAAGGAAAAACAATAAAAGACACAGGAAATAAAGACCTTTCCACTTCTCTTACTGTATATAAATAACATTTGGCATTTAGACCTGTGTTTGCATGACCTTCTAGGGTACCCATCACGATAGTCCAGAAGTTGTTTGGTCAGTGCTCCTACCTTTCTGAGTGAGTTCCAAGACTTGTAGGCAGCAGTGTTATCAGGAATCTCTTGCAACAAAAACATCTGCTCATCTTCGGGTGGAAGAGATGGCGATGCTGCTTCACAAGTGAGATCTTCAGGAAGAGGTACAACTGGTGGTGTGCCAGGCAAAGACTCTTCTAGTATGGTGCAAACCTCCGCTTCATGGAATCTCGAAGGTAAATGCAGATCTGCAAAACAAAGTTTAAAAAATAAAAACTATGGTGCAGAATGCTTTTGGTATATAGGCAATTCATTTCAGCAATTCTGATCCTAGACTGACTGAAGGAATGCCACTTCCACAAATTCTGCATATAGAGGTTACTGTCAAGAACCAACTTTTACTTTGTAGACATCACTGCAATCAGCAGGGCTCACAGCACTTATTTTAGGAGTATTAGAAACCAGTTATGTCTTTTGACCATAACGACGTGAGAGAGGCAAGTAAATAAAACAAATAAAGAGAAATGAACACTTCTGGTAGCAATAGCTTGAAAACAAGGCTACCCACACCATAATCGTTAGACTGGTAAAAATGATAGGTTAGCCTATTTTTCTTTCTAAACTAATATAATTAAGCCAACAAGTTGTTACAACATAAAACTAACACTAATATCCACCCTTTTAACTTGAGTGGGATAACAGTTTGGATGACGGGGCAATTTTTGTTGTTGCGTTATTGTTTGAAACCCTTGCCAATTGCTATGTTATTTTCATTTGCTTTGCCCTCTCAATCCTTCCACTGTGTCATAGTGATATATAAAAACAAATTCAGCAATTCTTACTCTTGAAAAATTAAAACACATGCAGTGCAGAAACGAGACAGTTTCTAGTGTTTGACTATATACCAGCTCTCGCAAGGCGTACATGCAGGAGTGGCATAATTTTTCCCTGAGAGTCCTGCATAATATTAGAGTAGGCAGACCATGTGAGGGAGGAAGTACAGTATATACATAGCTTGCATGTGACGTCATTCACGGCAATGCCAGTATTCACGAGCGTTCGGTTCTCCGTGTTAGTTTTGCACCACAGAAGTTGTAGTTAAAAGAAACCAGTAAGTAGAAATAATCGTCAGCACCCAGCAGTGGCGACCGTTGCAAGCTATGCATTGAACATACACTGCATAATGCTGTCAGTGCAAACAGAACTTTAGCACACTTCCCATTTTGCTCAGGCATCAGACAAGTAAATTATAAACACCAAATATGATGCATAGGTTGCTGTCTCGGATAAGTAAACTTCACCAATTAGCAATTCTGATGATAGCTCGTAAGCTGTAAAAAAAAAAGAGAGAAAAGAAATAAACCTTGACAAATGCTTGTCCAAACTAAATATATTATGCTCTATACATTTTCTGTTGTGTACCTCTAATATACGGAGCATTGCTGCCCTTACTATGGCAGAGCCATAGTAACGCCTTAATATTTGAATGGACGGTGGAGAAGTTTTGGGAAGAGAGTTTCTAGAATAATGGTATATTTAGCAGACTCAGCAACTGGAGGCAATGCCACCTGAAGACACCAAAAAAGCTCTGCCTATTCTAGGAGAAGCGAGGGAAATATGAAACAATGACGCATCCTCAGTTACCTGTAAATGTGCGCACTTTTTGAAGAGCTTCTTCTTGCATGGGGAAGACAAGTTTCTCGAACTGCTTCAAATTTTCTGGTTGCACTTGACTCCGAACATGGTCTAGCTCGTACAAGTCCGCTTTCAACTGTTGCACTGTACGGGAGGCATTGATTTGTTCAACGTGAAGTTTGTCCCACTGCTTTAGCTTCTGGAACTGAAAGCACAACAAAAAGGGTAATGAGGATGTTGTTTGTGCACTACCACAAATTAGCGCTGGTACGCACTTCCCTCAAGGGAGCAATCGATTTAGCTTTTTGAGAGTGAATTGTAACTATAACTTATTATGCGTGAGTGGATATTTGGCGGCCGTCAAGTTTCGCCTCCTCGTTCGTGATTTCGACCTTTGGTCTTCCAAACTGCAGCCGTTTTACAAGAATACCCGAATACGATCGCCAGGCCAATTGACGTCATAGAAATCAAGTCTAAAAACAACGTACCTTTTCAATGTTATCTCGATGTTTTGCAAGGATGTCTAGGTGATACGGAATTGCGACTTCCACGATCCTGTGCACTGCGACTTCCACCCTTCGAAGAGAAAATTTGCCCCGAGTTTTCGGCTCGCCTTTGCTGTCCGTTCTCGTTTGATGTCCCCTCTCCCTCTCCATATTCCGTTGGAGGCGTTCGTCGACTGAAGAAGAGTGCGCACCACCAGTATGCAAAAAAAAAAAGACGTGTCGATATTTGGATTCGGTACTTATTTACGCCATTATTGCCTCAACGCGGCCCATGATGAGAATCTAAACAACTGTTCCTCGCACCAACGCTGCTCGCACCTGATCGCCCATGCGCAGTGTGTTACCAGTGTTACTATGACAACCAACGTTGATGACAATCATGTTGTGTTCCAAAATGTCAACGAGGTATCAAATTGGCTCGATCCGACTCCGGAGTTTCGTACCGTGGCGTTTCAAAACTTACTCGCGCGTACTCAATTGTGTTCCAGAAGCGGTTTTTTTTTTTCCGGAATAATTACTCACGCAACCCTCCTCGATAGGGGGAGTAATGTCTGATCAAATCATAGGGGCTGTGTTCCAAATCTTACCCAAATGGATCCGAGTACCTCCGGCCTCTGACTCCGGCGGATCGTATCACGTGACAGCACAGATTGAAAAACGCTGGACGCGGGTAGGTTTTAAAACGCCAAGGGTACAAAACCCTTACCCTGGAGTAAGATCGAGTAAATTTTGGAACACGCCAGGATCAAATCGAGTAAAACGACACGTGATCTGTTCGTCGTCTGCTTTACGCGCCGACAGCCGTTAAAGCTCGCTTTCTCCGTTGTTTTTGGTGGCGGACATTCGAAATGACAAAGAATAAGGTGCAGCCATTTCGTGCACCTTCCCTGGGAAGGTCAGAGCCGGGGAAGGTATATAGGGTGGTTCAAGTCACCAAACTCGACCTAAAATGGACCGTAAAAATCGACGCCTGCACGTAGCCATCCAAACTTTTCGTCAAAGGTGTATTTCAAAGGTCGGTTTTTTCTTGTAAAATTACAAAGCGTAGTTCTCTTTCTATAAAAAATAGGGCCAAGTAACTTGCCAGTGTCTACGGCGGGCGGTGACCCAGACACAGGGGTACAGTAGCGGGGTGATTTTGGCGTTCGTATTGATAGATGCAAAAATATTCCAAAAGCCGGGAATCATAATGATAAAAAAAACTGCTCCGACTTTACTCAACAAGATTAACAATTTAATCAAACGTTTCGTCTCCCATGCAGGAAACATCGTCAGTGAAACCTACAAGCATTCCAAAGCAGTTTTTTTGATCGTATTGATAGATGGCGTCGGGAGCAGCGTCTGAATACAGGGCCTTACGTCTGAAGCTGCAGCCGACCAGCGAAAAAAAAAAAAAAAACAGACGACAAGCAGACGAAATCCGTTGGCAGCAAAAGCGCCGCCGTTATGCAGACGCGTTTTTTTACTTTAAGTTTTGCTTTTATTGTTCGCATTTAATTTTTAACCGAAGGTACATTTCAAGGAGATCATATTCATTTTAATAAACCACGGTGGTCGCGAGCACTCGCGAAAAGGAGGTAGCGCCATCTGTCAATACGAACGCCAAACGCACCCCGCTACTAGACCCCTGTCGTCTGCGTTCCTGCCCGCCGTAGCCCTGGCAAGTTTCTTGGTCTTATTTTTTATAGAAAGAGAGCTACGCTTCATAATTCAACAAGAAAAAACCGACCTGTGAAATACACCTTTGACGAAAAGTTCAGATTGCTACGTGCAGGCTTCGATTTTTACGGTCCATTTTAGATCGAGCCTGGTGACTTGAACCACCCTATACATGTTGTTATTATCAGAGTGCTAGTGTAAACAGGACCTTCTCCGCGTCCTCGTCCCTATCGGTGGAGGGAATGCCGTATTCTCACATTCAAGGCTGAACATGTTGGAACGCAGAAAATGATGTGGATGTTAGTATTTTTGTTACCCCAGAGTGCGAGTAATGAAAGGATAACGCTTGTAAAGCAGTGAAGGCTGGGAAGCCTATGCACATGATCAGTCAACAACCCCTCCCCATATCCCTCCGCAAAGTTCTCTTTGTGACTTAGTAATCATATTCGCGTCAAGTGAACGTAATTGTTATATATATCACTATTGAGAAAGCCCCCTGAGCCTAGTAACGTTGCCCTGAGTTGTGCCGCTACACCGTGTAAAAGCAATTTCTGCTAAACGTAATCGGTGCAAATTACAATGCGTGAAACATATGTCTTGGGCACCTGGACTAGAATTACAGCGACCGCGCTGATTAATAAAAATAAATTTTTGATGTCTAACTGTAAGCAGTAAGAAAAGGAAAGAGAGCAAAAGGAGCTGGTGTAGCGCTACTCGGGATGTCACGTGGGATTTATTACCCGCTGACGTAGGAGACAGGTTACTCGGGTAAGATTTGGAAATAATAAGTAAGCGACGTCACAGAAGCTTCGGTTATGTTCCAAACCCTACCCGCGAGTAGCGAGTAAATTGGCAACTGATATGCAAAAAGCTCGCGCCGCTTTTGAGTCGAAAAGATCGTCTGCTAAATGCGCCGGCTCTCGGCGCCGTATGCTCGTTCGTTGGCAGCAGTTGGCGTCGCGACCGCTTGCGCCATCTCTTGGCTCCCGTGCGAAACGGCGCCGTATTCTTGGAAGACCGGTGGCTTCGATGCGTTTCCATAGGAGCCACGCCTTTTTCTTTCTTTACATTTTCCTCACATAAATTTGCTCTTTGCAAATTTTACAAAAAAAACAACAACAAAAAAACAAAAGAAACACAACAAACAAACACACAAACTATTTATGGGAAATGTTGCACTCAATCGAATTTCGCGGTCGATTTAAAGAGCCTGGCCGCTCCTTGGGACAATCAGTAGGTTTGGAGAATTTTTTTTATGCAAAGGGTTATTTTAATTTTATGAACAGTTGCATTTAAAATAAACTAAATTCTAATCACTGAAGAAGTTAATAACTTAATAACTTGTAAATATGAACAAGCCATTGAGTTATTACAATAAACGCTAGAGGCTCATCTGGCGCAAGTGTTTACGGGGCTTCCGGTTGCATATTGTGTCCCAAGTCACCAGGCTCGATCTAAAATTGACGGTAATAGGGAGTTTCCGTAGACCGCGTTTCCCCCTCCGCTAAGCCCTCCGCAACGAATTAGCTACTACGCCTGTGCGCCGATAGCCTTGACTGTTGAGTTCTGGGTATCGTAGCGAGTTGCGGAGGGCGTTGCAGAGTGGCGAAAACTGTCTACGAAAACCTGCACGTAGCAATTTAAACTTTTCCTCAAAGGTGTATTTCACAGGTCGGTTTTTTCTTGTAAAATTACAAAGCGTAATTCCCTTTCTGTAAAAAATAGGGCCAAGAAATTTGCCAGGGTCAACGGCGGGCGGCGACGCAGACGACCAAGTCGAGTGGTGGGGCGCGTTTGGCGTTCGTATTGATAGATGGCGCTACTTCCTTATCGAGACTGCTCGCGACCACCGTGGTTGATTAAAATGAACATAAACTTTTTGTAACGTACCTTTGGTTTAAAAATAAATGCAGGCAATAAAATCACAATTTAAAAAAAAAAAAAAAAACGCGTTTGCATAAGGACGGCGCTTTTGCTGCCAACGGGTTTCGTCTGCGTGTCGTTTGCTTTCTTTCGCTGGTCGGCTACACGCTACACCTTCGGATAGGGAGGCTCTATACTCTGTTTCACCTTGTGTTGTACCACAGGAAAGGCTACAAGCGCGAGCTCCTTGCTCTAGGGCACATCTCGGTGGCACAAGCTCTCGTGCACTAAGGGCAGCTGCCCACGCTGTGAGCTCGCGCTCCTAGCCTTCGCTGCGGTACAACATAAGGTGAAACGGAGTAGTGAGGGCGGGTGCAACTCAAATCCTGGAGAGGGTTGGGAAAGGATATGCGCCTACGTTGCCTGCACGAGAGCAGGCGCCCGCTCTGTTGCAACCTTGAACAAAACAAACGCAACAAAACAAACACACCGACCCACTTCCCTTCCAGCCGGAATCTGAAAGGGCTGTGCCTTATCAGTCCGATTCAGTCGGTGTGTTTGTTTTGTTCAAGGTCCCAAGTTTTCAGTTTGGGACTGAGGTCACCGTTTACGGTTGAAGTGAAGACCAGTGTGGGTAGGATTGTATAACAGAGGTTGAGCTTGTGACGTCGGTGGTCGGTGATTAGGTTGTGGACATATAAGGCTTTGAGGAAATAAACGCAGTAGCTGAGTTTGAGACGTTCTTTTCACCTGTCTTTTTTCTTCGACCAAGTTTCCCAGCTTTTACCACAGTCTCGGGTATTCTACATCATGATCAACTTCCACCAGCTCACCTGCGCACTCACTGTTTTTTCATTGATCATTTATACTTTGCGTAAATTATTCAAGCACATTAATGGGCTCTTATGACCTGAGTTAGGAAATAAAACGACTCTTTGCCCCGTAGACTCGCTGCAAAATTTAGTAACTAAATGGCGTTCATATCCCGTAACGTTACTAGAACCACTCAGTTGGGAAACTGCCACAGAGACTGCTCTGAAAAAATGGCACCCATCCGTATTCGAGAACCGAGCTAATGACGATCACAACGTCGCCATTTCTCCCGCAGCTGCCCACTCGAGGAACTGCACGTGACTTCTGTTTTGGCTTTAATTGGCCATTTTGGCGCCGAAACGAATACGGTGGAAGGGTTTTCAGGGTAAGAAAAATTTATTTGACACCATTGCGAGTTTTTACAATGTTACAAGGTCACATGTGATGCATGCTCTACGCAAAACAATGTTTACTCGACGCAATGATCACTCCGGCCGTCGCAGCCGGCGAGGCAGAACCAGAGTGCCCGTATTACAACATGTCGAAGGACAGGCATGTCAAATGTACCTGGCCGTTGAGCACCGTGAGGTACCGGCACGACCAGCGCCGCAGGAACTCGCACTCCCCAAGGAGGAACAGCTTATACTCCAAAAAGGTGACCAGCTCCCGTCGCAGTCTCCATAAAAGCGGCCACATCGCCCGTTGGCAACGCTGCCGCACTTTCGAGGAACAACGGCTGCGCCACAGGACCCACTCGGCCAGCGCGATTACAAGGAAAGCGAAATTCCTTCGGGGCCGACGACCCTGACTGACATAAGGGCGCACACCAGCGTCAGGAAAGGCATGCGCCACAAGGCGCCAGAAAAGCTGCGCCACCACGCACTGCGCTGTTACGTGGACGTTTGTCTTCACTGCGCTGCAGTTGGGACGCTTAACATCACTGACCAAACCCCAATGGAAAAGGCGGTCCTTGGTTGGTAGGACTCCCCAACCTTCCTTCCATTGGAAGTCACACA